TGTACCATGAATATGTAATCCATATAATCGCAATTCCTTAAACAAACTAATAAGGCATGCATGAAGATAAATTTCGGGCCTTTTTACAATAATAGATGATCAAACTGTTATAACAGCACAGTCATGTATCAATCTAACTAATTTGTTATAGTCCTCATTCTCTTGTTATATAGTATATATATTTTTTAATTGAAAGGCTTTATTATAATAAATGATATTATCTTTTTTGGTAATAAATCAATTGTTACAATTAATCTTTAAAAAAAGTGTAATTTAAATATCAATGAGGTATAATCTTTCATATTCTTTAATCACTTTTTCATTTGCTTTAACAGAAATTGGATTGACCATACACAAACATTGAAACATCCCAAGAAACTGTAGCATGGGTAATGTCAACCCCTGTGTTTTATGAATAATAAGTGAAAAATGCATTTTGTAAAGAAATTGAGTGCTTCTAGCTGAAAGTATAATTTTAAACTCTGATAATATCATAATAGCATTAAAATCAATTATTCACTGAAGTCAGATTTTATTCAGAGTTTAAAATAAAACCTCCATTTAATATAAAATATTATTAGTATTTGGTATCTATAATTATACTAGCTTTTATTTTTTAAGTTTCTGATGTAAATTTTGATCATTCCCAATTTTAATTACACCTTTCTATGCTATCACATAATCTTTAGCAAAATTGCCTTCATTCAAAATGGTACATAACCCAATACTAGTACTGTTGATCTTTAGCTAATCCTAATTCAATTATCAAATCTCTTCTTAAACATGTTTACAAGAGTATTACAATTCTTCTTATTTACAAAAAAATGTGCACTGGTATCCCAACATCCATAAATATTGCGGAATTACAAAGTCAGTCATATCTATTAGTCTTGTAGGTAGAATCAATAAGTATTAACCATTTGTGATACTGAAGTTTTTTAGTTGTTTCTATAGGCACTTTTTTTTCATTTCAAATCATATACATTTGAATTAAGACTTAATTCATCTGTTGTGTATCTCTTAACAGTATCAGGCATAGTATAGTTTTTTGCTTCATTTTTGACTAAAATCTGGACAACTTGTAAATGTTTAACTTTATCATTATTATCTTACAATGCATTTTTAATCAATGGATTACTAAACACTCTTTTGGCTTTTGATGAATTAGCTTTCATGTCAATGGAATCTTTTAAGTCAGTGTGTGATCAGGAGATTCCTTGTAATGTTTGATTCTAATGATTTTTGAAGAAATTAAGTATGAAACTTTAGTGACAAATACCAGATGGTAGAATTGATATTTTTCTATATTTGTTATTTTGATGTTTTCATTTTGTTTTGCTTGACTTGATATTTCATAAACTGATACATGAAGGCCTTCCACTAATGATCACCATTGAAGAGTTTTCACAAATTGTATTGTATCCAAATATTTGTGACTAAAGGCTACAATTGTTATCAAAATCTTTAATTGGAATTTCTAAGGTAACATTTACAAGATCCCACTTTTCATCTTGAGTAAGTCTAGTCAAAAAGGATGCAACCAGTAAAGTAGTCATAATAAATTTTTTTTTCCCTCCAAATATAAATAATAATTGCAATCTCATATAAAAAGAAAAATATACTAGTTATCTTCAAATAGAATATTGAAGTATATAAAAATAAATAAATATAGTGAAATCATACTAGTTTAGAAGTGGGACTTAATAGTAATATTATAATAATAATTCCAACAAATAGTAAGAAAATAAAACTTCTATATAAAAAACTAAATCACAAGATTTTGGACCAACTTTTTAATTTAAAAAAGCCATAAAAAGAAGTATTACTTATTACTGAATACTTTTTTTAAAACATTTCCAATGCTCATAACTAACAGTTAACAATGAGAACAAAAAACTTTAAAAAAAAGTAATAAACAGAAAAAATGTGATACCAATATCAAAAAAAAATTTTCAATAAGCAAATCATATTTCATATCTGGCCAATGGTCACCTTCATCCACTTCTTCTTTTCTTTTTAGAGATGATATCATATGTGTATATAAATGCAACCTCACATGAATACTGAAACTGTGTACTCCCACTTGGTTCCACCATTAACTGAAAACATCTTCTAAAAGTGCATCCTTAGAGAAAATACTAAAAATCATTGTACATAGTGGAATCTTGTGACCAATATACAATTCAGGTATTTTCTTTTGTAATCATACAGAGTATCCAAAACTTAAATATTAAAAGTAACATCAAATTGTCTTATATAAAACAAGTGATTTATTACATAGATTTTTTCTGATACCACAGTTTGCAATAATCCCATAGCATTTACCTTTCTACTTCTTTTTTAAGTTCCATATTTTCTTTTTTTAGATAATGTTTTCTTTTAAGGTTTTTAACCCTATTTTCTAAGGCCCTTTCTGTTGTTGTATTTTGTAATTCCCACTCTTATTGCCTGTGTATGTGATAATGTTGGAAGATAACTAACTTTGCATTATTCATATCTTTTAAATTTCCTTTAAGATTAAGATCTAATGTTAATATTTGGCCTTTATAATCCAATCTATCAAACACATAAGCATGTAATTCTCTAGCTATTAAAATTCCAGTACCCTAGATAGTTTTCATTATCTTTATTTGTAAAATATGATATATAATTGTTCATAATAGTTTTGTATATATATTTGGCCTCTATATTTTTAAGAAAGTTCAGATACTGTATATCCAATATGCTAATTTTCTTTTCTTCCATTAGATCTAATATAAAATTGTCTTTTTTCAATTATTAATGTGCTTATGTTGACTGTAATCATTGATTGTTTAGGTTCAGTACAATATTGTCTAATAGAAATTGGAACCATTCTGGAGTTTATCCCTTTTTGCAGTTGAGTGAACCTTTAATATCAGATCAGGTTCTAAGAAAATAACCATCTCAGCTAATGACAAATGTTGATCAAGAAGTGAAATTTGTTTTTTCTTTAAACTAGTCATATATACCTTCAACGTTATCGTCTGATAATCTTATTCATTTCTCAAATTCACTACTCTTCTCAGTATTATGTCTTGAGATTCTTTCATTATCATCAATATTTCATTTTTCGCGTAATAAATCTAAAAATTGGGTTGAACATCAATATCCTGCCTTTTGTTAAGTGCATTATCAACCTAAATATTCGTGCATTTTCAAATTGGGGCTACTTTGGACCATAAAATTTTTAAAGCTTTCTTGTCCTTTTGAAATAGAATCAAAAATATTAAGAATGTTAGGGTAAATAGGATTATATAAAATGGAAAAATAAAAATTTTCAGGTAACAATAAAGAAGTTTTGAAAATTAATCAAATTGATTCAGTTAAATTCAGTACAAATATAAGTAAAAATAAAAATGTATTGAGTAAGGTATTCTATACATGGTATTAAAACTTTATTGATCATGTAAATCACATGATTATGGGTGTATAATACTGTAACATGTGTGTTTAATTTTGTTGAAGATAATGACTGAGAAGTTGTCTATGTTAATGTATTCTTTCTGAATAGTATTTCTTTAATATGTATTTCTTTAATATCTTGACCTTCATATCATCAATACATAAAGGAATTTTAGTCAAGTCTTGTTTAAAAAGATTCATTGGTGAGAAGCTTTGTTTTGTCTTATTGACTTTAATGTTCATGAAATTGTAAAAATCATCTGCTATTAAGATGTTTGATACTAAAGGTGAGATAATGAACTAAAAAACCTGAGGCTATGCATTTTGATTTATCTCACTAATTAATTGGCAGTGTTTGACCAAATCATGTGCTTTCATTAATATTAAAGGTGATTTTCTGCGATGTATTTTGCATAATAAGAACAATATTAATTGCTTTATAAGTATAGTTTTGTATTTGAAAGTTATAGATAATAAAATTTTCACATTATTAATATAACTTCGATATATTTCCTTTTGGAATATTTATCTCTTAGTATATCAAATCAAGTATAAATTCCATTTAAATTTAATTCAATTTGATGTTACTTTTCTTAATACTTTTCTTAATAAAATTCCACAACTATGTAGTATTAGAAAATAATATACTATGAATAAATTGATATCAATGTAATTGTAAAATAGTAAGAAGTATATTATTAAGTTTATCAATTTATTTTTTTTCTTTTTTTTAGTGAAAAAGAAATGTTATTTTGGCAACTTATTTACATTTAAAGGGGTATGCCAAGAGATTTGTTACTTATTTTGGGTCAATTATTAAAATTTTGTTGTTATATTTGTATCAAAGGTTTTGAAACTTCATTTTTTCAATTTTATTCCATCCTGAAATATTCAAATATTCAATATTGCTTTTTAAAGTTTTTTGCAAATTGATGAATAAAATTGTAATGTAGTGTGTATTGAAATATTTAATATTGTTTTTTTAAGTTTTTTGTATAGCTTCTTCCTATTTTAGCTTCAAAAAAGTTGAGAGTTATAACATTACTTTCAATTGAAGAATGCATACATTTATTCATTAGTGCACTCATTGTTCTGGTAAATTTGTTAATGAAAAGGTCTCATATTTATGATATCAATAATGAATATCTTGACCTATATTTTTGTATTTTCTTAATAGTTTGTAACTGGTTTCTTTATAAAAAATATTTTCTTTTAAGTATAGTCTCCATATTTATTTATATAATAATAATTTTTGTCTAGACTTTCAAACTTTTAACATTATTTTTTTCTGAAAAAATTTGGTTTAGATGATCAGTGGAAAGAGTTCTCTTTAAACTGATTTTTTTACCAATATTAAAATTGTAATGTAGTATGTATTAAATATTCAATATTACTTTTTTAAGTTTTTTTGCAAATTGATGAATAAAATTGTAATTTAATGTGTATTTATTTATTAATAAATTTCTCACATGAAAAGTGGCTTTAACTTAATTAAAAAACAAAAGTTATATTATTTGTCCATAATTTTAAATATTTGGGTAAAAGTTATTTGTCCAAATTTTCAAAAATAAATAAATTTATGGTATTGACCTAAAAATAATAATAATTATATAAGTAGATTAATTACAATTAGAATTTTGCATAGCCATTATCTGTTATGAAAAAAATTTTTTATCAGCCACTTTTTTTGCTAAGCAAATTTAATCAAAACTCTAAAATTTACCAATTATATTATTATATTATATTATTAATATGATGTATTTTTATACCAAAAAAAAAAAAAATTTATTAATGTAAAATTATTTAAGAGAATTTCCTATTAATAATGTTTAAATTTTCAAATTTTTGGTTTAAGCAAAATACAAAAATTGGGATCAATACTTAATATTTTATGATAAAGGTATTACAATAATATAATAATTTATTAAATCAACTTGTTTATACTGGTTTAAACTTAGCCCATTTTAAGCCACTAAAACTGGTTATAGGCTTAGTCAAGCTAAGCTTAACCTTAACTTGGCTTGGTTTGAGCCAAGCCTTTTTTACTTGTAAATATAGAATTATCTAATATTATTATAAATTTACTGTATTAACTGTATTAACTGAATAATTATCAATTTAATATCTCATCTCCTTTATTTCATTTGTAATTGTATATAGAAATGTACAATAAAATATAACTAAAAAAAAAATGAGATGGAAAGTAAAATGGTTCTTTAAAGTTTTAAGGAAATTTGTTACAACTCGGAAAAAAAAAAAATATTAAGCATCCTGCTTGAATAAGAAGAAAAGTGAAAGAAGTAAGCCACATAACAATTGACCCATGACACAATTAAAGAAAACGTTTGTTATAATGAAAACCACTAAGGCATGTGATCACGGTTCACGAGTTTGATACAGCTCGCATGTGATCTTACAAATATTAATTACAAATTTCTTTGCTTTATTACATAAGCAATAATATTCCAAATATTAATTATTGCTTCTATGAAGATAAAATTATTAGTTTAATATATACTGTATACATATAAATATTAAAACTTTTTACTGTACATACCGAATAAACAATTCATTTTCAATATCTTTAATTGGATATGATACATTAATTTCACCATCATTTTCTTGATATGATTTATACCATTTTAATGCTTCTATTTTATTTTTTTGAGTACCTTCACCATTTTTATAACATTCGGCTAATTCATATTGAGATGGTATAAATCCATTTTCAGCAGATTTTTTAAATAATTCGAATGCTATAATTGAATTATTTTGTGCATTATAATTGAATTGATGATAACAAGATGCAAGAAAATGTAAAGCTATATTTAATCCATTATTAACAGCATGTTGACAAAATTCCAATGATCTTTCATTATAATTTTTTTCAACGGTATAACCAAGATAATAATAAAATCCAACCTCATAATATCCATTGAAATCATTTTGTTGACTTGATCTCATATACCATTCGAATGCTATATTTATACTTTTATTTACTCCAAAACCTCTATTATAAAAGACTCCTAACATTAATTCATAATATTGTAAAGTAGGATTATTTATAAGGTAATTAAAAATTTCTTTTGATCTTGATTCATATCTTTCTAATACTTTATTAAAATCAAAAGTTTTTATCCATCCAATCTTATTTCTTTTTAAATAATTTTGAATAATTTCTTCTAAATCATCTCTTAAACCTTTTTCATATTCACTAATACTAGATGATATCATTGATGGTGTACCTAAATATATAATAAAATATTAATAAGAATTTAATCAAATACTGTATGATTGATTGAATGATTGAATGATTGAATGATTGATTTTACTTACTAATTTGACTAGTAAATTGCGCTAAATTCAGTTCGTTAATATTATCATCAATTGTTAAGTATGATCGTGATTGTAAATTATTTTCATTATTCAATATATTAGAACTATTAGAATTTGTTTCATCACTATAAATATTTATTTTAATATCAACCGTAGAATTATCTTTAGAAAAACGTTTCAATGTATCGTAAACTTCTTCAGCATTCGGTCTTAAATCTGGATCATTATCCCAACATTTCTGATAAAGTTCAACATATTCTAATGGTGTATCATTCATTGGTGATTCTCTATATCCATTTGCAATCCTATAACATAAAGTAGCTCTTGAAATACTTGGAAAAGGAGGATACCCGCTTGTTATTTCCCATAAAAGAATTCCTAAACTATAAATATCAGATCTTTTGTCTCTTACATAATTATCAACAACATAACATTGCGGTTCAATATATTCTAACATCCCCCAAGCTATTGAATTTGATGTAATTTCACCCGTTAAATGTTTAGATAACCCAAGGTCCGCAATCATCAAATTATTATTATCAACTAATATATTCTTTGCATGCTATAAAAAAAAAAATAAATAAATAATTTTAGATATGAATTAAAAAATATTAAAAAAATTTTATTAACAGTTGAGGATAAATAAATTTATTACCAAATCTCTATGAATAATTTTTCTAGAATGTAAACATTTCAATCCACAAGTAATTTCTGATGCCATCCGAATTTTATCATCCCAATTAAGTGACTTAAAATTATTTTTTAAATATTCTCTTAAATTTCCACGATTAGCGTATTGTAACACCATTATATAATTATTTGTTATTGGTTCTAGTATATTATAAAGATAAAAATAAAATAAATTAATATGTTATTTAATACATTTGAAGTGGTTACAGAAATGTCAAAAATAATCCAACCTTTTGTAATTCCTAAAAATCGATTTATGTTCGGATGGAAATTAACTTTTCTTAAATTTCTTAACTAAGTTAACGTACGTTAATGGATTATTTATTTTGAACAATAATAATGAAATCGTCAATATAATAAATCATGATGATGAGAATAAATCTTATTATAATAAATCTTGAATATGAACAATATATACTGTACCTCTTTAAGAAATCTATTCATATTATCTTGATTGACTGAATTATATTCGATAATTTTTAATGCTATTTTAATACCACAACTTTTCCAATCAGCTTTATTCACAATTCCGAACGCTCCTTCGCCAACTTTTTCAAAATTACTAAATTCATCATAATCAAAATAATTTATGTCATCATCCCTTATTTTCATATCGATCCACTCGCATAATGAAGTCATATTTTGCAAGAAATTTTTTTTTTTTTCTTTTTTTTAAAAAAAAATAAAAAAAATAAAGAGAAGAATTATTTTTTTGCACGAAAGAAGTACATTCGGAAAGTTTGATATTTTGTAAATACAACACGGGGATAGACGACAGATTAGTAAACCGTTAAAAGCTGATCTTTCTAAAAGCATAATCTTGCGTTTTGTAGAACTTTTATTTACAGATGAAACGATAACATGTGATTTTCTTCAACGGATTGAAGGATAAATGCATGAAATAAATGAAATAAGGTAGAAAGTGCATAAACCAGTTAACATACTATTTTTGTGAAACGATATCGTATGAATCTGTAATGATTTTTTCATGCGACAATAATTAACGTTCAACGAAATATAATAATTTACTTTCTTACTTCTTGTATCAATAGATAATATAAAATGTTAAAAAATTGATAAATTTATTATTTTATACACGACATTTAGAACAAACAAAACATAATATTCTAATGTATGATAAAATGTAATAAAAAAAAAAATATATGTAAAATATGAAGATATTATGCCTGCATATATATAACTTCAATAATTTAAATATGCAAAAATCTATGATACAATATAATAAATATGAGTTTTTTTTTTACTTTTCCACATCATTATTATTATTATCATTATTGTTATCATTATCATTATTTCTTCGTTTATCAGGTTTACGACGATCTTTTAATGCTTCAAATACACGACCTATTATGGCTATAGGTAATTTTACTGAAATTGTAATAAGTTTTAAGAACGGTATTAATGTATAATCGCCTTCAACTTCCCTTTTATACAAAATCTAAGATAAAGAAAAAAATTAATTACGCGTTTCTTTAAAAATCTTTTTTTAATAAAAGTACTATATATATTACTTTTTACATACCTGAATAACAAATTGAGGTATATCTGCAATAATAGAACTTATGACACAACCCCATAATATCATGGTCTTAGAATCATCAGAAAATGGAGCATTAAACTTTTTCATTCTAAAAATCTCTGAATAAAGTAATTTCAACGTTGACATATCAGCTCCTGCAAGTACTGCGGCTGTTGCTGCAAATGATGAATTATCATAAAACCATCGTCTAAATTCTGTGGAACCCTTCTTTTTTTCATTAATTATTATCATGAGTGAAAGTACAATATTCACAATCACTGGACCTATCAAAAATATGATACTGTAAAAAGGAGGAACGAAAATTTAATAAGCTAGGAAGTTTATTTGTATTATGCATTAAATAAATTATTTACCTTGGCACATAAAGTGAAGGAACATCTTTCCCTTGATTTTTGACAAAAAGTGCATCGAGAATAAAATCCAATAAAGTCCATGGTATCGAAAGTATAACGCCACTCATTGCCTAATAATATGATGTATATCGTGCACGAACGTTTATTAATAATCACATTATTAATAAATTATAATAATGTTCAGGATAACTTATCACATACCTTTCTATTTAAACAAAAAGATATTCCAAAACATAAAAGGAGAAACAACCCAAATAGGCCAAGTGCGATACCTCCAACTATTTATAAAACAGAAAAGTAAGGGAAAGATTCACCAATTATTTGTTAACTTACAGGTATATTGAAAAACTACTCCAGCTGAAAGTGCTCTCTTTTCGATATTATTGTGTGATGAAGGTGAAAATCGTTTGTCGTTGGATTCAACTTCACATAATGAAATTTGGATAAAATATAATAAGAATGAAAGTAATAGAAAATTAAAGATTTTGGGGGATTTTGAATACATTTTTTGAAGATATTTTTTTTTTTTTTGTATGAAAAATAAAAACGTAAACAAGTTTTTTGAGGGAAAAAAAAGTACTTTACGATAAATATATATAGAAGACCATTTTATTTGTGATATGAAGGCGAAACATGCATGAAACAACGATTATAAGTAATAGATTTAATCATTTCTTTCTTTTTTTGACAAAAATATTGATGGGGTACAAAGTATATATGGATTAATGAGCACAGAAAAGCTTCCTTTTGTTAATTTAGTTAAAACAATTTACATTGTAATTATATATAAAGCGATAATGGATGATACTTGTTTAAAAAGGTATTTTGCGTAATATAAACTAAATAAAGGGGAATTGCGTTTTAGATGTAGTAGAGGAATCTTTGCTTTAAACTAACGCTAACTAAAAAATTTGATTAACCGGAAGATCCGATCTTGATCATCATTTTTTTTTTTTTTTTGGTATAACGAATGAAAAAAAAAGAATCAATCATTATTCGCCAAAAGAAATGGTATAATATATAATTGTTCAACAATATGAAAATTTGATTAACACGAAAAGGAGGAAAATGTCATTTAAGGAAATTGGTTCATTAAATATACAATGAACATACCTTATTAATAAATCTAAAACATACAGTACTTCCGAAATTAAGCATCCTTAATGTTGCCCAAAGTCATCATAAGTGCCGATCAAAGTTGGCTTAATGCGATTATGCGACCCGAGTACTCAATATTCAGGGGATGCTTAATTTTGGTTATACGAACTGAAAAACAAACGTAAAGTTAGGTTAATCCTTATTATACAAGTACGAAAATTATTGGTTCCTTTATTTGGATATCGAATGTTTCAAGATTTACATTCGAAATTACTAAATAGGTTTAAATGATTTGATCGTTGTGTGATTTACATGAAACCTAAGGAGGTTGAAATTGCCCCAAAAAAAAATAATTTATGCATGTTAATTTCATAGGTTCATTTAATATTTGCATAAATAAAGTAAATAGGTCACAACAACCACGATACTATTTGTAAAATGATTTATTGGATAACAACTAATTTTTTTGGGTAAAGTTTCTGATAATAGGGTACAATGATAAGATCCGAAAAGGAAATTTGCGTGTATCATGTTACACATTTTACGGGTTTCGTGGGTTCCATCAAGCCGGAATATTTATACTTAAAATAGTAATTTTTTCTTGATCGTCAAAAAAAATTATAAAATGTATTTTTAATTTATAAAATATTGTACGGTAAGCATGTCGCAATAAATTAGACGCGAACAAAGATTTTATTCTGTATGAATTATTGTTTAATAATGACACAATATATAAGACAAACATGCAATTCATTAATCATAATTTCATAAAGTTTAACGAATTTTTTAAAAAAGGTTAACCCCCGAAATTTATTCCCAATTTTTAATTAAGTCATGTGATTCTTTGTCTATTTATAATATTTATTTAGACATGGCTCCTTTGTTATAGTTTATAACTGTTTACCTTTTTTAAATAATTTAATGAGGTTAATACAAGGATATTATGGATTTTGTTTGAATATATATTTTCTTTCTGATAAAACATAAAAATTAATTTTCTTTAAAATATTTAATTTACTTTTTAGTGCATAATAGATAAATTCTTTCTGCATATTAATAATTTTTTCTTTTTTTTACTTTGAATATTTTTTTTAAATATTAAATATATACAATATATTCACGACTAGTTTAAAGATGTTAAGCCAAATTTTATTTTTTTTTATGTACGACTAATTTTTGTACCCGTGTAATATTTGTAATATTTTGTACGGTATGAAATAATGAAATCAACGTATTAAATCGAGTAGATAAATCGAATAAATCGAAAATTCACATGCTTATCTTTTTTATACAAGGAGTTATTTCATGTGTCAAAATCTTTACGTTCAAACTTACATATTTATAATTTCTAATTACCAGGGATGAAATTAACAAAGTCCGAACGTCCCGTTGAATTGGCAATTATCCAATTGTAAAGACAGTATCTTTTACCGCAGTAGGTATCACCGTGATACCGTGATATTTATAGTATAAATAGGACAGAGGCGTTAAGGTATGACGCAAAATTCCATTTATACTCGTTCATTTTAAAAGAATAAAAGGAAATCAAAATCATACTTCATTATAATGTAATAGAATTGTGAAACAAAAATAAGAGTGTCATTTGCTTTGTGTATAACACATATAATATATTGTTTGATAATACTTATTTTCATTATTATACTGTAAATACCCAATTCTTTCCTTTTATTGCGTTTTTTTTAAAAAAAACCCCAGTTAATATTTAATAATAAAACATAGAATTCTATTATGAACATACAAAATGATAATCAATCATTTAAATTTACCGATGCGGATTTAAATGATGTGGTTGGAAATAATAACGTTAATGTTGATGTCAATTTTCAAATTGAATCAACCAATTTAAAAGAATCAACATCTGGTTTTGAAATAATCGAATAGAATTCTTCTAATACTTCAAAAATTCTTACCGATGTTATGGAAAAGCTTCACACATGTTTTTTGAATACTTTAGAAGAACATGAAATCATGAATAAAGATGCAGAAAAAGGCCAGTGTGGAATTTCGCTTTCAATGATTGTTGTGCTTTTGACGAATATCAACTAATGTACCAAGTCCTTAACATTCGACCTCATCCCAGTTTTCGTTTTATCCATGAAGAACACACTTCAAGTAAATCTTCTTACTCGGTTGTTACAAATGCACGTGGAATTTATCTAATTGTCGTAATAGTTGTCGCTCCTTCTGATAGTCAACGAGTAATAAAGCGTCAACAAGGTTTGATGGATGCGAAACAACTTAAAGAACAATTTCGCCTCGCAAATATAAATAACGAGAAAGTTGTTTGTTGTTCTCGGCGCATTTATTATGAATGAAACCGAAATGAATAAAAGTACCATCATTTTTATCGACGAGAATGATGAAGCAATTGCTCGTGCTGCGGACGAGAATTACCTTGTTAACAAACAGGTAATCGACGAAGTTTATTTAGAGGCGTCTCGGCCGGTAATGGATCTTCAAGAAGAGATGTTGCAACAAGGTATAAAGTATTTTTATTAGCGGTTTCTTTTGCAATTTTATATTTATACTTACTAAAAGTCGATCAAAATTTTTTTAAAGGCCTCAGATCGATTGGTTGTTATGATGATGTTGTTATTGACGATTGCGAAAATCTTGTTATTGAAGAGTTATCCGAAGAAGAAATGATGAACAATCTTCAAATCAACAACAAACATCTGACTACAAATCTTTATTATATATTATGGTTCAAGTCATGGTATTAATATTAGCAATAATTTATAAAATAAATTTTACTTAGGATGAATTAAATTTACCTTATTAGAAATGATAATTTATATTAAAATGGAAATTCATACATATTATTATATTATTCAGCCTTGTGTTTAACGATTTTACGAACAGATCTATCATATAATTAGTGACATTTTCAAAATAAAATACTAACAAAAAAATTTTTTTAAGAGTATCCGATTACAGCAAAAAATCAAAGTTCGGGCGGGGAGGATTAATCGATCCAAGCCTAACGGCATAAAAATTTGATATGTGACATGGTGGACAATGTGTTGTATTTGAAAAGAAAAATTTGGCTCTGAAAAGGATTAAAGATTTTTTCCTTAATAATTTTTTAAAATTAATCAATTTTTTTTCTCCATTCTTTCTTTACTTCAATCGAATTTTTAATAATAAAGTACAGCTAAATGTCGTATAGTCCCGATAATCAACTATAATGAATAATATTTATCAACTTAAATATATTAGTTGTTATTTTTAATATTAATTTAAAACATAAAACGTAGTAGTTGTTTTACCGTTTCTACCATTTATGTTAGCGATACAGTAAAAGTGTCGATTTCCTCGATGGTATAAATCGTGTCAGTATTAAAATTATTTTCGCTATGTTTGTTAAAATGTAAACTTTCATTTATATTATACAACGAACCCCATCCAAAATTAAATCCATTATTATCATGACTTGTGATTGATTCCATTTACTATCCGACTTACTTTTATATTTTGAGTATCTTCACTATCTTCAAATGAAAAAATGAAAAAATAAAATTATCTGACGATCTGTATTAAATAGTTCACTTTATTATATCAATCATGTGTTATTGTTGCACTTTTAAAATAATGAAAACGCGTAAAATAACTGAATTTCTTTTGTATTTTAACTTTAATATTAGATAATACGGATGATTATAATGTGGTAATTCAAGAAAGGCCTCTTAGAAGAATTAAGACGAAAAATTAAAGCTATTTTTTTTTAAAAAAAAAAAACTCTTTACGCGTTTAGGTTCATTAAATATACGAAATTTTGTAACATTACACAGATTTAGAATTATTTCATATTGTTATACACTTCCCAGGCACCACACAATAATTTAAGCCCCCTTTCCTTTAAAAACAGCCAAGTTTCTTAGACCAAAAAATGATGATATCCAAGGTATAGGTAATTCTTCCTGTATTACATGATTTGAAATGTTGGATTTTTTGATTTTTTGCCTGAAATATAAGATATTAGTTAGTAGTGTGTACATTTATTTAGGATAAAGGAAGGCACATAGCTGATTCTTTGTAACAGAATCAACAGACCTTTACCAACAACAAACTTAAGTCAAACTTAGGACACCTCAGATAGAAAGAAATTATACCAATCTACCCAAGTGGTTTTTGCTGTCACAAAATGATACCATGCTACCTAAGTGGTCCCTACTGTCATGGTCCTTCAGGATACCACTGTTACAGAAAGATGATACCATGCTACCTAATATATGGTTCCTACTGTCATGGTCCTTCAGAATCCACTGTTAATGCCTAAAGTCCTAAGCCCCCTAAGTTTGCAAAATAAAAAATACACACCTTTTCCATTAGTTTCTTAATCCAAAAAATGATGAAGAAAAAGTAATAATGATATCCAAGGTATAGGTAATTTATCTTGCATTACATGATTAAAATGTTGGATTTTTGATTTTTTGCCTGAAATATAAGATATTAGTTAGTAGTGTGTACATTTATTTAGGATAAAGGAAGGCACATAGCTGATTCTTTGTAACAGAATCAACAGACCTTTACCAACAACAAACTTAAGTCAATCTTAGGACACCTCAGATAGAAAGAAATTATACCAATCTACCCAAGTGGTTTTTGCTGTCACAAAATGATACCATGCTACCTAAGTGGTCCCTACTGTCATGGTCCTTCAGGATACCACTGTTACAGAAAGATGATACCATGCTACCTAATATATGGTTCCTACTGTCATGGTCCTTCAGAATCCACTGTTAATGCCTAAAGTCCTAAGCCCCCTAAGTTTGCAAAATAAAAAATACACACCTTTTCCATTAGTTTCTTAATCCAAAAAATGATGAAGAAAAAGTAATAATGATATCCAAGGTATAGGTAATTTATCTTGCATTACATGATTAAAATGTTGGATTTTTGATTTTTTGCCTGAAATATAAGATATTAGTTAGTAGTGTGTACATTTATTTAGGATAAAGGAAGGCACATAGCTGATTCTTTGTAACAGAATCAACAGACCTCTACCAACAACAAACTCAAGTCAAGCTTAGGACACCTCAGATAGAAAGAAATTATACCAATCTACCCAAGTGGTTTTTGCTGTCACAAAATGATACCATGCTACCTAAGTGGTCCCTACTGTCATGGTCCTTCAGGATACCACTGTTACAGAAAGATGATACCATGCTACCTAATATATGGTTCCTACTGTCATGGTCCTTCAGAATCCACTGTTAATGCCTAAAGTCCTAAGCCCCTTAAGTTTGCAAAATAAAAAAATACACACCTTTTCCTTTAAATCAGCCCAGATTCTTAATCCAAAAAATGATGAAGAAAAGTAATAATGATATCCAAGGTATAGATATTAATTTCTCAAAAATTGCAAAAAATATTGGATTTTCAAAAAAATAAATTGCAAAAAATATTGGATTTTCAAAAAAAAATAAATTACAAAAAGTATTGATCTTCAAAAAAATAAATTACAAAAAGTATTAAAATATTGTGTAAAAGTAAAAAAATATTGTGCAAAAAAAAAAAAATAAATTGCAATTTTTTCTAATTGCAATTTTTTCAAAAAAAAAATTACAAAATTACAAAAAAATATTTGGCAAATTGCAGGCCTTTAAATAAAAAAAAAATGCCTTTCAATAATACTGAATAATATTGAATCATCTTTATTAATATTCCATCTTTTAAATAATTATGCATTGATATCACAAGAAGGCTTGATTTAGAAATAATAAAAAAATTCGTATAATGTCAATTTTTTTTTTTCTACCAAAAAAAGAAAAAAAGATCTTACAAAAATTAATAAATATGACTCATATTGATTTTATATAATCTTTCTATATTTTTCATTATATTCATAGTTACGCCAATATTTTATTATAATAATTTTTTTTATCATATTGTAATAGCAATATCTATGTTTTTTATTATTGTTTATAGTTGCACCAATATCTTTTATAATGATTAATAGATTTCTAATGTAAATATTGATAATATAAATCTGTATATCATATGAGTCATAAAAAATTACCTGTACTACTCACATAAAAATTGCTCATGTGAATTAAAGATCAGTACTATAATAGAAAATACACAATGGGCACCACAATCAACAATTTCATATGATTTAAAAAACAGGTTTTTATTTGTATAAATATAATCTTAATTTTATATATATTTTTAGAATGCAAGAAAATCATTTAAAATAAGAATTTCTTATAGGCTATTAAGCTTGTATTTTGCAAGAAATTTTTATAATGCTATATATTATGTTAATTGATAAAATATCATAGAATCGAATGGAAATAATAAAATATAATGATATCTTAGATTACTAAATCTTGTCCCTTTATGTTTGATAGGAGAATTTAGGTTATAATGGTAAGTATTTCTTTATTAGTAAAATTGTACTATTTACTTATAATAATTATTTTAGGTTCCAATGGTGTCACTCAAGCTAAATATAGTGAAAATGATCATTCGCCACAATACCATCATGACATCTTTCTATATTTAGAAACAAATTTTGTTATAAATTTATGCGTGAAAAATGAAAAGCTGTAATTAATTATAAAATTATCAATGTTAATAGTTTATACAGTACCATTTTAATGTTTCTTTTATAATTTTTTGGACTATTAAATTGAATAAGGTTCGTTATCGTGAAATTATTACAAAACTTTAATAGGTATTAAATGTATTTACCAACTCATTTTGACTTGTCGTGTATTTTTTTTCCCATTTTGAAGCTTCATCCCTATTTTTTTGAGTACCTATACCATCTTTATAACATTCAGCTAATTCACGTTGTGATAGTACAAATCCATTTTCAGCAGATTTTTTGTACAATTCAAATGCTTTAACTTGATGTTCTCGCAATAATTGCTGATTGGTCTCATTCATTTTTCGAATACCATCACCAGATTTGTAACAAGTTGCAAGAGAATATAAAGCTCTATTTAACTTTTCCTTACTCTCATTAACAGCACGCTGAAAAAATTCAAATGCTTTGTCACAGTTCTTCACAACACCATTTCCATTATAATAACAATTTCCAGTCTCTAAGATGCCATTATAATTATTTTGTTTACTTGCATCTATATACCATTTAAAAGCTTTATCCATGTTTTCATTTGTTCCAAACCCCATTTCATGAAATTTTCCAACAATTACTTCATAATTCCGTATAGTTTGATTATTATTAAGGCATTTAAAAATTTCTTGTGATTTTGACTCATAATTCTTTAAAACTTTAAAGAAGGAAAAACTTTTTGTTTCTCCAATGCTATTATGTTTTAAATAAGCTTCAATAATTTCATCTAATTCATTACGTGTGATTTCTCTTTCAATGTCATTAATGAGAGATTTAATAGATAACGTAGTTTTTTCCTATTAAATTAAATATAATTTAAGTCAATTACTTTATTTTTTTTTTAAAAAAAAAAGAGTGAAAACAAAGGAAATTATATTTACCATTATGGTATCCTTGATATTATATGTTGGATTATACTCGCCATTATTTTCTAAAAACAGTTTGTACCATTTTAAGGCTTCTGTTTTATTCTGTTGTGTACCTTTACCTATTTCATAAAATGTGGCTAATTTATATTGAGATGGTATAAATCCTTTTTCGGCAGATTTCTTATATAATTTGAACGCCTCATCAAATCTATTTTTTTCATTATCAAATTCATAACTAATTGCAAGAAAATATGTAGCTATATTTAACCCTTCATCAGAAGCAAGTTTATATGATTTTAACGCTTCTTTAAGATTTTTTTTAATGCTATATCCATAATTATAACAGTATCCAAGTTCAAATTGACCATTCAAATTATTTAATTTACTTGCCTTTTTATACCACTCAAAAGCAACAATTTCATTTTTATATACACCAAATCCATCTTCATAAAAATATCCAACCATTACTTCATATTGTCGTATAGTTTGATTATTGATAAGATTACCAAAAATTTTATTTGATATCGATTTGTGCTTTTCTAAAATTTTTGGAAAAGAAAAATCTCTTGACCATCCAATATTATTTCTTTTTAAATAAGAATCAATGATTTCGTCTGTAGCATTAATTATATTTTCTCTCTCATCCTCGTAAATTTTGGGCGTCAAAAATGAGGGTGATTCACCTAATGATATATAAATATTAGTAATATATTTTCAATGTTTTTTTTTAAAAAAAATAAATAAATATAACAAATATACTTACCTAATGGATTTTCAAGATATGATAATTTAAGATTGTTTTGGTCATATAAAATTTGACTATTTTTATCACTGTTATTTTTTTTAATCACATCTTCCATAATTTTAGGAAGATTATTATATTGATCCTCCAATATATTAAAAACTTCAATAACAGTTGGTCTTAATTTTGGGTCATCATCCCAGCATCTCTGGTAGAGATTAACGTAAACTTTAGGTGTATTAATTATTGGTTCTTCTCTATATCCATTGGCAATTTTAAAAGTTAAAGCGGTATCCTTATGAGGTGAATTCTTAGAAAATGGAGGATATCCACTCGTTATTTCCCATAAGAGAACACCCAAACTATAGATATCAGACTTTAAATCTCTGACATAATCACCATATTTATAACATTGTGGTTCGACATATGCCGGCATTCCATAAACTACCGAATTTGACGAACCATCGATGGTTAATTCCTTTGCTAATCCAAGATCCGCAATCATTAAAGTACCATTGTGGACCAGTATATTTTTTGCGTGCTATAAAAATAGAACAAAAATAATTTAATTTAAAACGTGAAAATAATATGAAATAAATAAATTAGTATATATTACCAGATCTCTATGAATAATCTTTGTGGAGTGTAAGTACTTCAATCCACAAGCAATTTCTGATGCCATCCGAATTTTATCACTCCATTGGAGCGGCTTAAAATTGATTTTTAAATATTCTCTTAAATTTCCTTGATTCGCATATTGTAAGACCATTACATAATTGTTTGATGTCGGATCTAAAAAAGATTTAGTTAATATCAGAACAAGATAACAGAAACTAACGAAAATTATATTTACCCCTTGTTATTCCATAAAATTGATTTATATTTGGATGAAAGCCAACTTTTCTTAAGATCTTTAACTATTTTTTTTTTTTTTTTTTTTTAAAAAAAAAAAAAATAATATAAGTTGTTTTTATTATTAAAACTTATTATAATGTAATATTAAAAAATTACCTCCTTAATAAATTTTTCCATATTACTTTTCACATTATTTTCATTATTTATTTCACTAATTGCTTTATTATTTGTAAGTATCTTTAACGCTATCTTAATTTTACCACTATTCCAATCAGCTCTGTTCACAATTCCGAACGCTCCTTCGCCAACTTTTTCCAAATTAATGAATTCATCATATCTAAAAAAATTTATATCTTCTTCTTCTATTTTCTTGTCAATCCATTCACTCGACGTCATATTTAAAAGAACATAAAAAAAAATATGGTCTGATTTTTTTTATATATTTTAAAAAAGGATAAAATAGGTAATAAGACTAAAAAGATTGAATAAATGAGTATTCGTTAAGTTATTTATAGCTATCCGGTATACAATTTGCCGATCATTCCGGTTTATCAATGATATTTATCGCACAGATTAAACGGAAAAGCCTCGAACATCGATGTTTGTGGCACAGGCGCAGTCAATCTTTCATTAATAACCTAGAAATAGTAGTAAGTATGGTAGTATAAATGTGTAACAAACTATGTCCTCGTGATCAATAATATTTGTAAATATTTTGTAATAAAATCTTAAATCTTTTTTTTTAAAAAAGAAAAGTTTCGGTAAAATTTATAAATTTTCGGTCGAATTAATAAATTTTTGATCAAAAATTAGGAATAAATAAATATGACAAATATGTAAACATCATACTATCTCACATCTTTGGAATGTTTGTTGAGCAAAAAATTTAATTTAGTCTTTTAAAAATAATACCGTTTATTCATTACGCCACACATCTTGGTATCCTAGTACCAAATGCCAGATATGCAACTAATGCAACATTGTCGTATGACAACTACGATATGCATAATTTTAAATTGAATACAAGATTTCAAGATCAGATAAATTTTATTTTATTGGATAAAAAAAAGGACAAAATCTTCTTTATTTGGATAATTTCAGCCGATATTACATAATTCTGGCCCTGAAAAGATGCGTAGAGCTAATAGCAAATGAATGCCATTTGCCAATCTCTTGTTACCTATTTATATATTGCTCTATCTAATATTATTCAAATAATCATTATTATTTTAAAAAAAAATAAATGTCTTATCCTTTGCAAAAATGAACAATGTTTTTTTGAGTTGCTGGAAAATTTTATACTTTGAAACAGTATTTAACCAAAATGGTTTATCAAAATTTTAATCTAACATTCTAACATATTGCTTAACCCATAACTTGGATCGGATGGTGAGTCTGTGATAGTACTAATTGTCGTAATTATTTAGTCTATATTATATCGTACTTCAATTTTTTATATATAAAAAAAATATTCGTCAAAAAGCCATCAAAGTCAAAGTCAATTTCGAATTACTACTATTTTTTTGGTTAAAAACCTTTTTTTTTTATTAACCTTTTTTTTTAAAATAAAAAAAATTGTCAAAAAAAAAAATCGTGATGCTTTTATTTACTCATCTTTTGTTAGAAGCTTTTGTGCAACGAGTGTTCATATATCATTTTGTGAATCCCAAATTGTGAAACATTACTAAAGTTCTTTTTACTGTCCTTTTTACTAATATGGTTACAATAAATAAGTTACAATAAATAAAACGCCCGCTAACGTACGGAAATTAATTTAGTAATATTGTATTACACAAAAAATTACAAATTACACAATAAAATTTTTATTATATAGTGATACAGTGTAATCTTCAATCCGTAAAAAAGGACCAATAGAATGAAATAGCCCGATATTGATGAATATGTAGAAGATTTTCTTGCAACTATCAGATTATTACATCAATATTCTCATTCAAGAAATAATACTATAAAATTATAAAATTCAAAATATTCAAAGATTTATAATAAATAGTAAAACACTATTTATAATACTTTGTAATGTTGTAAACAGATTACACAAGACCATTTCCATTATTGAAAAAGGAGAACGGCTCACTTGAATTCTTACACTATTATCAGTATTGATCAAAAAATTTCTTTGCAATGGTTGAAATAGATGTCAATCAAATAATCAACGATTATGAGACATTTGACCAATCATTTTTTCTTTTATGTTTATTATCAAATTCGTACTTATCATTTTTTTAAGTTATATACATGGTAAATAATTAACCAAGTTGATAAAGGATTTCGAAATATTGGTTTGAAAATTTTTATTGTCGGGATCGTCAGGTACTCGGGTTATTCGGCTAGTCGGGTTATTAGAAAAGATAACACGGGTATACTTTACAGCTGATTTCATGAGACCTGGGACAAAATAAATTTTTGAACCCAACCGCCGACCCGCCGATCCGGTTCAGTTGTTATTTATTTTACAAATCAAACTATCAAATCTGGATCACGTACCCAACTAAAAATACCAGATCGGCGGGTCGGCGGTCGGGTTTTAAAATTTATTTTGTCCCAGGTCTCATGAAATCAGCTGTAAAGCCTGTAATATAACATAATTACATTTATATAGTACATACAATTATAAATTATACTACGCCATCATATATATATATGTCAGTGTTATATATCTTTTTTAATAACCCGACTACCGACAATCCCGACAATAAAAATTTTCAAGTGTCCACTATATTTCGAATTGTAACCTAAAGTGCCTGGCCCGGCCCGCGAACTATTATTATTATAAAAACAAAAAAATGGGCCAACTTAATTTTGGCCAGTTTAATTTCGGCCAGAATTAAGACGGTTTGGCCAGAATTACGAAAATCCGGGTTTAACGAAAAATCATGTGCCGGCCCGGACCCAACCCGGGTGAATTTTGAAGTAAGTTTTCCAGTCCAAACCCGGATCCGAGTCCGGACCGGGTCCGGGCCAGGTCCAGGTCCCGTTTGCATACCTCTAATTCCCGCTTTTTTAATTTTCTACAGTTAACTGCTAAAATATTGTTAAATTGAATGAAATATATAAATGCAATGTATTAACACAATTCAAAAAGGTCGGAGTATGCTCGATTTAGTGTGATTTTATTGTGATTCATAAAGCTATAAAAAAATTTAATCAGAAAAAAATTTATATTTTAAAATAATTTCTGTGACATGATCGACATCGAAATACTTTAATATGTAATGTTTACATTTATGATTTTTGTGCTACCTGCTACTTGTACATTACAGTACTTGGGCGTATTATAAATAAAGATTTGTTATTTGAAAAAAATTTTGGGCTTTTTGAAAACAATGTTTTCTCAGAATATACTTTTGACAAGAAATAATATTCTGAAATATTTAGAAACCAATTTTACAAATTGGACCAGTGGTAACGAAAAAATCAATAATTTTATTCAAAAAAGGCAATTAGGAATTATTGTCAATGATGCTGATGTGGTGCTTGAATGGATACCATACAATCAGTTTAACGAAATTAAAGAGATAGGCGGAAATGGCCTTATAACAGTATATTCAGCAATATGGAAGGATGGTCCATTATATGAGAAAATTGATATGTGGAGTGAAAGTTATACAAGAGATTCAAATAAAGAAGTTGCTTTAAAATATTATCATAATTCGCAAGAATCCATTGATTATTTAATAAATGAGGTATGAAATGTCTTTAAATATTTAAATTTTTTTTTTTTATTAATTAATATATTTACAGTTTCTTTTATTTAGGCTAAAAAATATCCAGCAAAATATGAATCATTTCAAGTATTACATGGAATATCTCAAAATCCAGATACAAATGATTATATTTTAGTTCTAAATATTTCCATAAACGTAACAAATTGGATAAGTGGAGATGAAAAAATTGATGATTACATTCTGGAAAGGCAATTAAAAATTAATAACTATGATGATATAGTGCTTGAATGGGTACCATACAATCAGTTTAATGAAATTAAAATGATAGGCAAAAATGGTCTTATAACGGTATATTCAGCAATATGGAAGGATGGTCCATTATACAAAGAGGATATATGGAGTAATTACATAAAAGATTCAAATAAAAAAGTTGCTTTAAGATGTTTACATAATTCACAAACATCCATTGTTTCTTTAATAAATGAGGTATAAAATTTCTTTAATATTTATAATATATATTTTTGGTGATGATCACCGGTGACTGAAATTATGACAATCGACCAGCATTAAAAAAATATAGTGCCGGTAAAATTGATAATTCCGGCCAACGGTGATGATCACCCCTAAAAAAATTATTTTGAATTAGTATATTTACATTTACAATTCCTTTTTATTTATGTTTAGGCTAAAAAATATCCAACCAAATATAGGGCATTTCAAGTATTGTATGGTATATCTCAAAATCCTGATACAAATGATTATATTTTTGTTCAAAATAATTATACATGGAAAAGTGGAAATGAAAAAATTGATAATTTCATTCAAGAAAGGCAATTAAAAATTAATAACTATGATGATATAATGTTTGAATGGATACCATACAGTCAGTTTAATGAAATTAAAGAAACAGGTAAAAATGGTCTTATAACAGTATATTCAGCAATATGGAAGGATGGTCCATTATACAAAGAGGATATATGGAGTAATTACATAAGAGATTCAAATAAAGAAGTTGCTTTAAAATATTTACATAATTCACAAGAATCTATCGATTCTTTGATTAATGAGGTATGAAATTTCTTTAATGCTTAAATATTTTTTTTAAAATTACTTATATACAATCTCTTTTATTTATATTTAGGCTAAAAAGTATCCAATAAAATATAAATTATTTCAAGTATTATATGGAATATCCCAAAATCCTGATACAGGAAATTATATTTTAGTTCTTACATGGGCAAGTGGAAATGAAAAAATAGATGATTTTATTCGAAAAATGCAATTAAAAATAAACAATAATGATAATTTAATTCTTGAATGGGTACCATATAGTCAGTTTAATGAAATTAAAGAAATAGGTAAAAATGATCTTATAACAGTATATTTAGCAATATGGAAGGATGGTCCATTAAATTGCAGTAAGTTGCATCATAAATATGCAAGAGAATCAAATAAAGGAGTTGCTTTAATATGTTTACATAATTCACAAAAATCCATTGATTATTTGATTAATGAGGTATGTAATTTCTTTAAATGTTTAAATAATTTTTAATTAATATATTTACAATCTCTTTTAATTACATTTAGGCTAAAAAGTATCCAACAAGACATAAAGCATTTCAAGTATTGTATGGAATATCTCAAAATCCTGATACAGGAGATTATATTTTTATTCAAAATAATTATATATGGACAAGTGGTAATGAAAAAATTGATAATTTTATTCGAGAAAAGCAGTTAAAAACTAATAATAACAATGATTTAGTATTTGAATGGATTCCATACAGTCAGTTTAATGAAATTAAAAAAACAGGTAAAAATGACCAAATAACAGTATATTCAGCAATATGGAAAGATGGTCCATTATGTAAAAAGAGTATATGGAGTAATAATTATTCTAGAGATTCAAGTAAAGAAGTCGCTTTAAAATGTTTATATAATTCACAAGAACCCATTGATTCTTTGATTAATGAGGTATGAAATTCTTAGACATTTAATATTTTTTTTAATTAATATATTTACAATCTTATTTGATTATATTTAGGTTGAAAAATATCTAATAAAACGTAATGCATTTCAAGTATTGTATGGAATATCTCAAAACCCTAATACAAAAGATTATATTCTTGTTCTTATATGGGCAAGTGGAAATGAAATAATTGATGATTTCATTCAAGAAAGTCAATTAAAAATTAATAACTATAATGATATAGTATTTGAATGGATACCATACAATCAGTTTAATGAAATTAAAGAGACATGTAAAAATGGCTTTATAACGGTATATTCAGCAATATGGAAGAATGGTCCATTATGCAAGATGGATAGATTAAGTAATAATTATACTAGAGATTCAAATAAAGAAGTTGCTTTAAAATATTTGCAAAATTTACAAGAATCTGTTGATTCTTTAATAAATGAGGTATGAGATTTCTTTGAATATTTAAATACTTTTTTTTAATTAGTATATTTACAATCTCTTTCATTTTAATATATTTAGGCTAAAAAATATCCAACAAAACATAATGCACTACAAGTATTGTACGGAATATCTCAAAATCCTGATACAGAAGATTATATTTTAGTTCTTATCTGGACAAGTGGAAATGGAAAAATTGATGATTTTATTCAAGAAAGGCAATTAAAAACTAAAAATTATTATGATATAGTGCTTGAATGGATACCATACAACCAGTTTAATGAAATTAAAGAAACAGGCAAAAATAGTCTTATTACAGTATATTCAGCAATATGGAAGGATGGTCCAAAATACAAAAATAATAGATGGAGTAATTACATGAGAGATTCAAATAAAAAAGTTGCCTTAAAATGCTTGCATAATTCACAAGAATCCATTGATTCTTTAATAAATGAGGTATGAAATTTCTTAAATACTTTTTTTAATTAATATATATATATTTACAAGCTCTTTTATTTATATTTAGGCTAAAAAATATCCAACAACACATATAGCATTTCAAGTATTGTATGGAATATCTCAAAATTCTAATACAGGAGATTATATTTTGGTTCTTATATGGACAAGTGGAAATGAAAAAATTGATGATTTCATTCAAGAAAGGCAATTAAAAACTAAAAATTATAGCGATATAGTAATTGAATGGATACCATACAATCAGTTTAATGAAATTGAAGAAACAGGCAAAAATGGCCTTATAACAGTATATTCAGCAATATGGAAGGATGGTCCAAAATACAAAAAGGATAGATGGAGTAATTATATGAGAGATTCAAATAAAAAAGTTGCTTTGAATGTTTATATAATTCACAAAAATCTATTGATTCTTTAATAAATGAAGTATGAAATTTTTTTAAATATTTAAATACTTCTTTAATTATATATTTACAATTTCTTTTATCTACATTTAGACCGAAAAATACCTAATAAAACATAATGCATTGCAAGCATTATATGGAATATCTCAAAATCCTGATACAGGAAATTATATTTTAGTTCTTATTTGGACGAGTGGAAGTGAAAAAATTGATGATTTCATTCAAGAAAGGCAATTAAAAGTTTATAATGATAATGATATAGTGTTTGAATGGATACCATACAATCAGTTTAATGAAATTGAAGAAACAGGCAAAAATGGTTGTATAACAGTATATTCAGCAATATGGAAGGATGGTCCATTTCATTATAATAATTGGACAAAAAAATATGATAAATTTGAAAGTAATTCAAATAAAAAAGTTGCTTTAAAATATTTATATAATTCAAAAGAATTCATTGATGTTTTAATAAATGAGGTATTAAACTTCTTTAAATATTTAAATACTCCTTTTATTAATTAATATATTTACAATCTTCTTTATTTATAATTAGGCTAAAAAATATCCAACAAAACATAATGCATTTCAAGCATTGTATGGAATATCTCAAAATTTAGTTACAGGAAATTATATTTTGGTTCAAAAAGATTTTATAAACTTTGCAAATTGGACGAGTAAAAATGAAAAAATTGATGATTTCATTCAAGAAAGGCAATTAAAAGTTAATAATTATAATGATATAGTGTTTGAATGGATACCATACAATCAGTTTAATGAAGTTGAAGAGACAGGCAAAAATAGTCTTATAACAGTATATTCAGCAATATGGAAGGATGGTCCATATTGGCATGATGATGAAAATTATACTAGAATTTCAAATAAAAAAGTTGCTTTAAAATGCTTACATAATTCACAAGAATCCATTGATTCTTTCATAAATGAGGTATAAATTTCTTTAAATACTTAAATATTTTTTAATTAGTGTATTTACAGTCTCTTTATTTATATTTAGGCTAAAAAATATCCAACAAAATATAATGAACTACAAGCATTGTATGGAATATCTCAAAATCCTGATACAGGAGATTATATTTTAATTCTTATCTGGACAAGTGGAAATGGAAAAATTGATGATTTCATTCTAGAAAGTCAATTAAATATTAATGATTATAATAATATGGTGCTTGAATGGATACCATATAATCAGTTTAATGAAATTGAAGAAATAGGCAAAAATGGTCTTACAATAGCATATTCAGCAATATGGAAGGATGGTCCATTATACAAAGAGGATATATGGAGTAATTACATAAGAGATTCAAATAAAGAAGTTGCTTTAAAATATTTACATAATTCACAAGAATCTGTTGATTCTTTAATAAATGAGGTATGAAATTTCTTTAAATATTTAAATACCTTTTTTTAATTAATATTTACAATCTCTTTTATTTATATTTATTTAGACTAAAAAATATCTAACAAAATATAAAGCATTTCAAATATTAAATGGAATATCTCAAAATCCTGATACAGGAGATTATATTTTTGTTCAAAATAATTATATATGGACAAGTGGAAATAAAAAAATTGATGATCTGATTTATGAAATGCAATTGAAAATGAATGATCATAGTGATGTAGTATTTGAATGGATACCATATAATCAATTTAATAATATTAAGAAAATAGGAAATGGTGGCTTTGCTATAGTATATTCTGCAAATTGGAAAAACGGTCCATTAGAATATTATACAAATAAAAGTATATACAAAAGGAATCCAAATATAATGGTTGCCTTAAAATGTTTGCATAATTCACAAAATATTAGCAACAAATTTTTAAATGAGGTATTATTTTTTTTAAAAATCATTTATAATAAAAAAATTCTTATTTAAACATAATGAAATAATTATTTCTTTATTTATATATTTAATAGGTTAAAAAATACTCTATAAATAAAAGGAGTAATATTCTTAATGTATATGGGATATCTCAAAATCCAGATTCAAAAGAGTATATTATGGTTCTCCAATATGCAAAGGAGGGCAATTTTAATCATTGGATAAATAAAAACTATAAATATTTTATTTGGAGGGATAAACTATCTGCACTGCTTAATATTATTAATGGTCTTAAAGAAATTCATCAAAAAAGTATAGTTCATCGTGATTTTCATACAGGAAATATATTATTTTTAAGTAATATATATAATTTTGGTAATTGTATATCAGTTTCAGATATGGGATTATGCGGAGAAGTTGGTAATATGGATGAAACTAAAATATATGGAGTTATGCCTTATGTGGCTCCTGAAGTATTAAGAAAAAAGCTTTATACCCAGGAATCAGATATTTATAGTTTTGGTATGATAATGTATTTTGTAGCAACTGGAAGACAACCTTTTTATGACCGTGCACATGATCATCAACTTGCATTGGATATTTGTAAAGGAGTTAGACCTGAAATATGTGAACCAGAAGCACCAAGATGTTATATTGATTTAATGAATAAGTGTTGGGATTTAAATCCAAATAATAGACCAAATGTTCTTGAAGTAAATGAATTAATTGTGTCATTTCATAAGTCATATGGAAGGGATTTTTACATAATAGAAAATGAAGAAATTGAAATGCAATTCAAGAAAGCAGAAGAATATAGAAAAGCAAATCTTTCATTTATTAAAAATTACCAAATAGCTACTCATCCACAAGCTATTTACACATCTCGATTACTTAATTCATTTACAGGAGATCTTTCAGAATATGATGATAATTCTCAATGTTTAGATCAAGCAATCTAAATTCAAATTAAATCCAAATAAAGCATATTATAATAAAATTTTATTTAAAGGAATATAAATTATTCACTTGATATACTGTATGTATTTCCATACTAACTATTGCACAGGGTTATATTTTTTCTTTTTTTTATATATTTATTATTATTTATTATTTATTATTAGTTTGTTTTTAATTTATATATTACATAGAGATATTTTTAGTTATTTAATGATTAGATAAAATTAGAAGCTTAGAGGTGGAAAAGTGGCTGAATTAAAGGTGGCTTAATAATAGATAAATATGACCAATCACCACATTTTGCTGAGAGAAGATTGGCCAGGTGGCAAATCTGTTTGATAGTCAGATTTACACCAGATTTTTAATGATATAAAAAGGACCGATGGTGTAGAAGTAGTTTGAGCATTTGTGTAGGGTTTATTTTCAAAAGATAGATATACAGATATTACAGAGCACTGATAGAGGTAGTAATATCATATTTTGTTCAAGTGTTAATAAACCCGCCTGTTTGTTTCTGATTTATTACAACTCATTTATTTCTTTAAAGTGTTTATTATCTTTTATTGACCTTTTGTTACATATCAATTTATTACTTATACACAATTTAAGTTTGATTAATTCATTAATATATACACATTTCACTTCGTTATTATTTATTTATCAATTGCTTATTGTTTAAATATACATTAACTGATTTGCTGATATCTAACATTATAATACCCTATCATTTATTAACTGATCTGATCCTTATATTTCTTTCTGTTACTACATCAAAAACTGGTGGTTAGGAATAACAATACATTGGAAACTTAACAGTACAGTTCTTGATTTTTTCATATAGAAGGCCCATATTCAGGAGAGAATATTGCATCTAAATTATTTGAAATTTTAAGAGAATTTAATCTTTTATTAAAGGTAAACATTAGTAAATATTTTATTTAATAAATTTTGAATTCTAATTAATTTTTTTTATTAATATACAGATCTTAGGCATTAGTACTGATATAAATAAAATGTTTAGTAAATTTGAATATATGTGTAATTATAAGAGGGTTAAATTTGAGTGTGAAATTGAGAAAACTGCATAGTTTAGGGTCTCTCTGAGACCATCCTATATTTCCTCATACTTTATTGTGATATTTTTTACAGAGCTAATTTATATCAACAATTATCTAGTACTGTAATTTAAATTGATTTGCAATTATTGAAAAAGACAACATGACCAAATTCGATAAAGTGTTGTCTCCAATATCTGGATTGGCATGCCAAATTAAGTGGGTTGGTTACCAAGCATTTTGATGAATAAGATTCAGTCAAACTTATATAAAAAATATAAAAAAGAAACTGGACATGAGCCATGGCAATTATCAAATGTTAATGCAAATTGATGATGGCAAAATCCCAGACCTTTGGATTCAAGCCTATTATTTATAACCAAACCTGATCCAAAATTAATTCTCAAATCTGTCTTAAAATGTTTCATATACTTAAAATTCTGATATAGTTTTAGGGGGACCATGGAGCTCATCATATCCTTATTTGTAATGGAAAACATGGAAATTATGGATTACATGGTAAATGGTATAAAAATGGAACAGAATATTGTCTTAGCTGTAACTCTTCAAGCACTAAATTCAAGTTTGTGATCACAGTCATGTAAAATTGATGCATAGTTAATATTTTTGCCTGACCTATGTGATGCAAGATTTACATGTGCAATTTTTTCAAAACCAAAGTGTTATAATTTCTTCAAGTAAGCATATTAGAAATTTAGAATAGAAGGTTACTGCATGAAAAACTGAATAAAGTCTGCAGTCATTAGTATAAAACATTATACAGTGTATCATAGGTATTATCCAAAATTAGATACTCCTTTAATTTGTACTAATCTAATTTTAACCACAGTGCATCTATTATAATGTTCTATTAATAAATTGTGTATTGTCATACATTTTTTTCCTGAAAGTTCTAGTAAATAATTTATCTTACAGTTTTTCATGAATTAATGATTTGTGAGTGTCTCTGATCATAGAAATTGAGGTAACAGATTGACTCAATTGCTACAGAAATTTTTATGTAATCACTAATTAATATTTCATTTTTAGTAAATTAATTGGATTTGTCATATTAATAAAAATTTCCCCAAAGATCTTAGATCTACTGCAAATTATATAAAAAGGTAAGGCCTAGTTAGTAAATCTTTTTATTTACCTTGTATAAGTAAAACAAAAAATTAAGTGAAATATTCAAACTAATCAAACTTATTAATATTTACATCATTAATATTCTTGAATAAACAAACTCCTATATTTTGCAAAACCATAATAAGGTACATTTAATTAATTGGCTTATTGCTTATTAGCTAGCTTTTTGAGATATGTTATTATGATGTTAATAAATTTTCTATCTCTATAGTTATTCCAAAATAAAATGAATATATTATTCTTCTTGCTATGTATTAGTAATTTGATCTTTGCTGAGAAAATCTTTGACAATCATCATATGTACAACAGATGCAGTGAAACTATTTACATGAATATCATCACATGCCTTAATATCATACTTCTCAATAAAATTTGACATAGTGTGTCTAATAAATTTTCAATAATAAACATCTTTACATGCCAAATTCTTGGTATTTAGTGCAATATTGTACTGGCAATAATAAATTGAATTACCTTTATTGTAATGCATTGTCACCCACATCTGCCAACCATGGATAAACAAGTATTTTATTTTTCAATTTTATCACATTTGGTTTAGATTTTTATTATTACTTCTATTTAACTTTCAAACTTTGATGGTTCTCCCATATTCTAGTATTCACAACATTCTTTACAAACTTGGAGAACTTCCCCATCTTTATTATTTCATTTTAATAAAGCAAACATACATAAGTTAGGGCAAACCATATTACTTTTCATTATTGACATAATACTTTATTAATATTGAGTCTGAAGACTGGGGATTTCCTATTGAATTCCACCTCTATTTATAACAATTTACAAAATGTACTCTTATATACCTTTCATTTCTATTTCTATAACTAATTATGACTCATCTCTTAGCATTTTTGAGTAACAATTATTTTCATTCACACAATCATTTTATTGGTACAATGAGTTCCGTCATTGATACAATAACTTCATTGATACAATAATAAATTATTTATAACTAAACTACCAAATATAACTAATCTAAATATAAATATAAATAACTAAACTAAATAAATGTAATTATAAATAAATATTGTGTAATAAATATTACTCATATAAATTATTTCATCCTTCTTATTATTTTTTCTTTGATCAATCACTTGTCTTTCAGTTAATTATTTATCCTTCGGTTAAATGTTTACCCATATTCCATTCAATATATTATTCTTCTAATCACATGATTATTCTGGTATCTATGGTTACAGCATTAAGTAATAAATTTTAGGTGGAATGAAATGTTGCAAAAATTAATAGTAATGGTAAGTGTGAATCAGAAATATTTTTTACTCATTTGCTAATAGGAATGGCAACAGTCACAATTATTAATTGGTCATGACTGATATCAGTCAGTCAAAGGCTTCTGACAATCTGACTGACTGTTTAACTGACCAATTTGACCAACTGTTTAACCAACCATTTAACTGACTATTTAACCAATTGTTAGCCAATTATTTAGCCTTTATTCATTTAATGAACTTAATGTTAATCAATAAAAAAAGAATAATATTTTTTTTGATTAAATTACACTTTTTAACATTTTGTTTTGATTAAAATTCATTAAAAAGAAAAAAGTGATTGGTCAAACAGTCAGTCAAATGGTTGGTTAAATGGTCAGTAAAACAGTCAGCCAAAATGGTTGGTCAGTAAAAGGTCCTTAACCAATTATGACCAACCAATAACTGGTTATAACTGACCATTACTATCCCTAGTTGCTAATCTCCTGAATTTATGCTATAGATTTCAAAATTACTTAATCTCAGAGAAGTTTCATTGTGGAAAATATTATTTTACATAATCTGTGACTCTGTGTATTTGGGATAGACAAAAATTCTGTAACTATAGGTGGAATAATTTATTTCAGAAATCTATTAGTATAGTAATAAAAGAGTGTAGGGTGAATTATGAAATTAGCAATCATAGAAGTAGAAACAAATTAGTTATAAATATTATAATAGATTTTAGCTGTAGTATATAAATAATGACTTCTGCTGAATATTGATTCCATATAATCAAGATATCTCATAATGATGTGTTACAATTACTTTTAATATATTTATGTAATATGATCAGAAAGTTTGATAAATAATAAAGTTATAAGGGAAATTTTATTCTTCCATTTTATTCTTTCATCTCTAATATGAAAGTAAATGCTCACCACAAAAATTTATAATATAATTAATACCCTTGCTCTTACTACAAAGAAATGACCACTTTATGAACTTACTTCTATAAAATTTTATGAAATATGGTGCCGGAACTCTATACTCAAAAATAAAATTGTGATAATTATAAATCTTTCAACACTTTAATAAAATAGAATTTCAAAGAAATAAACTGGTAACTTTGTTCTACAAGACAAGTACTATTAAATTACCGGTCAAATTTTCAAAAAAATATCTACATAAAAAGTTATAAGCGTTTGAAATTTGGTTATTTTTATATGATTGGCCCAAATTTGAAACAAAAAGTCATATAAATGCATTTATTTTATGAGAATTTACATAAATAATATTGACATTTAATTATTTTAAGGCTTAAAATGGCTTAAAATGTCCTTAATTTACCTAAAGTCTAAATTCAACCCCATTTTAGCTTGATTGTTCTTAAATAAATACTACTTTCTGCTTTATTCTTTAGCCGATTTCCTTTTTTTTCCTTTTTTGTACATGCTCGTATCTGTTTTTTCTATTTTTTCTCTAAAATTGTGAGTTTTTATTGGCTATTGTGCTTCTCACGTGATAAATTAAAAATTTGAAACATTTCTGAGTATAAAGTTCTGGCACCATAGATAAAGCAATAGGAGTTCTTAATACTTGCCAATACATGAAGCAAACTTGACTTTATGAAGGAAACTTTCTTGAACCATAATATGTTATAAAAGACAACATGACTAACCCTTTAAACATTTGCACTAACTTTGCCCCTTTTGTCTCCTAACCCAATTTAGATAAACATCAAAGTAAGCCTTTGCATTATAATGATTGGTTAACATGAACATGATGCACTAACCTTTTCAATTTTTAATTTATTTTGTTATAAAGAAAAACATCAGCATAATTTTCAAGAGTTTAACCATAGAGTTGCCCCTCCTGCTTATTACAAATTTTGGACACCCTTTTACAATTTATAAATTATTTGCAAATCAGATTATATTGACAAAGTTAGGCTGAGTTCAGAACCATTTTCATGTTACATGGATGTTGAGAATCATGACAAAATCATATTAAAGAATAATGTAATGTTTAATTCAGAAGTGTATTAATATTAAATGGTGGTAGACCAGTGGAAATTATGTTAAACAAAGGGGAGGAATGTAAGCATGTAGTTTTGGGAAAAATTAAGATGGACAATTGTCCAAAATTCTACATTTATGCAAGCATTCAGATGGAATAGTTTGTGGAGTGACAGAGGAATGTATCTACATCAAAGAATCATATCTCAAGATGATCAAGTTGATTGAAGCAGTCTGCAAGAATGATGGCAGTGTCATTATTGTAATACCAGATACTGGTAAAATACGCTTATTCTTGTACTTCACTTCTTATATAAGGTGTCAGTATCAAGAAACAGATATTATTTTTGAATAATTGTGTAAGAGCACTAATATAAGCTTGATTCTTCGTATCAAAGCAAACAAAAGCATAATGATCAATTTTCTGATCTAATATCTGAACACCCAGTAGATTGCTATTACATTGCAGATCTATAGCACTTACTGATGTTAAAACTAAATTCACACTTTTATTAACAATTACCAAAAAATGACCAGTGGTATGAATTTGAGAAAAAAAGCAGTGTTTTGAAATATTACTCATCTTTATGGACAGAAAATAAAATCATGAATGTATGGAAGTGGAGTCATGGTCATATACATGAAGAATGAGTTAAAGAATTGATTAATACATGGGGTGATGGGGTTGTATACCACAACAGGTTTTCTGCAAATACAATAAAAAACCAAAGACTAATGATGTAATAGCTAAATGTAATGTTCATGACTACATTGATAATGAAGGGGAAGATCTAGGAGAAAAATATTTGGGAAAAGCAATTCATATTCACCCCAAACCAAATTCTGCTTCAGAAATTATGTCTAAGGCTTTGTATGAAAAATACAAAAAATCTACAAAAGAAAATGATGTTAATTTAATTGGTGCTGCTGCTTCATTGTCTGGACTCTGAAAATGATTTCTCATAATATATTGTGAAAAGAAGGATCATTTAAAGAATGAAACTTAAGCACTGATGAATAATGCAAAACACTACAACTCCAAGTGATGAAACAAAATGTATTCCACAAAATTAATAAAATAGTTCCAATGGAATATAATCTTTCCTACAAGAGCAACATCATAATGTTTATCAAAGCATTTACTAAATATTCATAAATAGCACAAGATGTATTGAAAAAATGCCTATAAATGTTAAATTAAAATATTAAAAAATGCTTAAAAAAATTAATATATTTAATATATTTATGAATCTTGAAGCTTTGATTTTCTTATGCCTAATTATAATTGATGTTACCATTTGTATCAAATGACTATCATAAAAAAAACACAATATTAAGGTAATACTGGTTTTGATTAGCTTTGTATTAACTATTGTTAAAACATTTATATTTTGTAGGTGAATGGCATTCAATTTTGAAGTCTATTGGATGATAATTTATCAATCCATTTTTATTTTGTTGTACCAGATGCAGATGAATTATATAATGATTACTGTAAGCAAGATTATCACACAATGAAAGATACTATATATAAAGGATGGAATAATGAAATGAAATGAATTCAAACAAAAGTGACCCAATATTTTCTTCTGATTGAGTTAGATTTTCTTGATCTGCTAATGAAAAAAGATGGTAATAAAAAAATACCAAGAATAAAAAAGATCTGCTAATTTTTAAATTAGAAGAGTTGGTATTTAAAAAATACCAATCTGTCTATTAACGACTTAATGTAAAAAAAAAATAAGCAAACTTGCAGTAATTTTAAAATACATGAGTTGGTATTTAAAAAATACCAATCTGTCTATATCAGCGCCATAAAAAAATAACATTATTATTAATAATAAGAATTGGGAAAAAAGGCAATTGCCATGATACCGCAGCATCAATCCAATCACCGATCCAAATTTAAATGGTGAAAGAACGAATGTATTCGGGAAATTTGAGAAAAAAAGGCCAAACTGAAAAAGGAAAGGGGAAAATTTTTTTTTGGATTGGAATAAAAGCCAACCAGAAAAAAATTCAAAAAATTCAAAAAAATAAAATTAAAAAAAAATTGGAAAGAGAAAAATCGGGCTGAAAAAAGAAACTGAAAAGGAAAAAAAAAAAACAAAAAAAATTTGGAGGATAAAGAAAGAAATCAGTTTAAAAAAGGGAAATCTTTGAAAAAAAAGGACCGAAAAAAAAATAAGTACCGAAAAAGTGTGAAAAAAAAGGACTTCAAAAAGACTGAAAAAAAAATTCAAAAAAAAATTAAATAATACAGTCTAAAAAAAAAGAAAAAATAATATAAAAAAAATTGGTCTTAAAAGACCGAAACAATAGGATTATTTTAATAAAAAAAAATAATAATAATTTTTCAGTTTTAGAAAAAAACCAAATCTAAACGGGAAAGAATGAAAAAAAAGGGAGGAAAAAAAGAAAAATTTTTAAAAAAGAAAAGAAAAGAAAAGAAAAAGGTGTTTCGAAAGAGAAAAAAGAAAATTTGAAAAAAAAGAAAGAATCGAAAGATCACAAATCTACCTCATTTTCACAAAAGAACAAAAAAGTAAATTAAGAACAAAATTTAATAATGAAACAAAAAGAAACATAGAAACAAAAAAACTAATACTAATCCATTTTCACAAGAGAGCTAGCAAACCTAAAAAACATCCAAAGAATCATTGGACCTAAAAAAAAGGTACCAAACTTTTCGTAATTTTTAAAAAAAAATCAAAATATAATTTAAACCAACCTTCACTCTGAAAGGTACTGCTAAAACCTAAAAAAGAGAAATGGGTTGTTCCCTACAAACAAAAAGTCATTTTTTTAAAGTTTCAAATTCATTTTTCAGAGTTTACCCACCCAAAAATCTCAAAAATCAACTGTACAGAGAGAGGGTTGAATTTTGTGACACTTCATTGCGCAATGTTAGTTTTCTAATTAGCATACTGTTGTCAGTGGCATGGTAAGATATTATAGTTTTCAGGCATAGCCTCTCCACCCAAAAAAAAGATAAGATATACAAATGAGATTATGCGAGTACTTAGTCGTTAGTGGGATCGTGTTTTACTCGCTAAGCATTCCGTACTTATTTATTTTCGTGACATGTCGAAACGATAAGACATCAATAAAAAGGCCCAATATAACCGAAACTTTATCATGCATGTAAAAAAAAAAATTAGAAACTTTTCTTGTGATCACACATGTATAGTATTATAATACACATTGAAGTAAACATTTTTCTCCTAGTAAATAAAACAGGAACCCAGTATATCATATTAAATATTTATAAGGTAAATCAAGAATGATAAAGAATTCATGCTTGTTCATATTAATTGATTTCACTCGTAAATAATAAATCTCAATAATAAATAAATAAATATTTTATTTAAGTATAAGTAAATTTATAAGCAATATTGTATAAATAATCTTAACTGGTATTTTTAAGTTAATCAACAAAATCATACGTGTTAATAAAATATGATTTTTTGTGAAATAGCTAAGTGGAACGTTCATCTGCTGTTTAATGAATTAATCATATTAAACTTACACATCAGCTTTTCAAGTTTTTGATTCGCTTCGCAGTATAGTGCGGTATTAATTTATCTGTGGAACGTGTACAAACTTATCTGCTTTTGATAGTTTTCTTTTCCTATAAAAGTATATAAGAACTGAAGACCCTACCAAGGCAAGCACGATTGATGAAATTATAATTCCTATAATAACATTTTTGTTTTGAGTACTAGGTTTCGGATTAGGATCAAACTCACTGACCCACTTGTAATTAGATTTATCGCTCGTGTCTAAAATAAACGTTTCGTTTGATAATTGAGTATTATCTCTTCCAAAAAGCACGATCATATGATCACCAACCAAAGTAGCCGTATGGTAACAACGTGGAAGTGGTGGATCTGTGGCACTTATGACATTCGCTTTTGACCATGTATAAACAGTTTGTGATGTATCTAATATCACAAGATCATCATTAACGGCAGCAATATCAGCATCACAGCCTCCATACACGATAATACGACCATCTTGAGCTATATAATTTAGAGAACAATGTAATATATTACCCATTTTATAATTTAATTCACAAAAAAAAGATTAAATATATAATTACTCAGAACAGCAGAATGGCATGCACGACGTGCAGGCGAATAACCAGTGGTAGTCTGAAATATAATATATCTTATAAGAAAATGAACGATTAGCTTTTAAAAAAATTAAAAGAAACACCTTACCATTGAAGTCCATTTATTATCATATGTATTATACAAAGGTAACTATTTTTTTTTAAAAAAAACAATGATCAGTAAATATACAATTTAGACTCTCAATTAATCAATTAAACGGTGCTGATTTACCTTTAACATATCTGCTAGTGAATTTACGCCGTTATCATGTATGGTACCACCTATATAAACAATATTACCGTTTCTTAACAAAGTACCCGTATGATCGAACCTTTGTTCTGGAGCATTAACTATTTCCCACACTAGCGTCGATGCATCCAAAATATCCAAATTATAATTATATTTGTTTTCTGGTGAGGAAGGTAACATTCCACCAAATCTATACATTTTTCTAGTTTTAACATCACAAACGGTCTGGGTCTGGCTGTGAAAATTAGATAGAGGTGGATTGGTGGTCGCAATGCTGTTCCATTGTTTTGAACTTATCCCATAAATGTAGACGAAGTTTGCTATAAATGTATTGTTTTCTCCAATATACAAAATTAGAGAATCATCAAGTCCACAATTTGAGAACGCGCTCCATGCATGATCTGGAAGACCTTGCGAACTAAGTTCCTTCCAAGGTAATGGTTCTCCTACTTTAATTACAATGGGTTGCTTAACGTCTAAATAATAAAATTCATTGGAAAATGTTAATCCATCAAAATTATTCGGGTTTTTGGGTTGGAGACCACCTGTAATATATATTTTAGAATCTGTAAATACGGCGCTGGGACCCCAAACTGTCTTAGGCGTGAAAGCCAAAGTGAACTCATTGAGGTACAGGCAAATAACGATCAAGCCGAGGAAAAGCATTATCAATAATCATAAGGGAGGCGAAAAATACACCTGGCATTTTTTTAGTTCGTCTAAATACCGAAAATAAATGAATTCTAGTATAGAAAATGTCATGATCTATTACGTAATGTATCCTTTCTTCTACAGCCTATTGCTAATTATGATAATATCCTTGCACTACAAATTCTAGTATTTCCATATATGGCATGATTGCCAAGCATTACGAAAATAATCTAAATAATAAAATAATAAAATAATAAAAATACTTTGATTAAAAAAAGTATAAACATATATAGGATAGAAAAGGATTTTCGGAATGGGAATTCCGGACATAGCCACAATTTATATTCGGCTAGGAAAACGGAAACCGCTCAAGCCTTTCGCGTTGCATAACTCACAGTTACGTGTCATTTATTTATTTGACATATGACATATTTCAGGGGTCAAATAGGTAGTGTTACGTAAATCGTGATACATATTCAAAAAAAGAAAATAGAATTGTCGATTGTGACAGGGACAAAAACGGGGGGTTAAACCAAAATTTTGCTAGTTCTGTACAGTAAATAGTCCTTCGCTAACGCTTGATGATTAGGCGTTCAGTTGTGTTACGGATATCGGCAAAATTTTTCCGTTTTAACATAACTTATTCAATTTATCCTTTTTTAAACTTATCTTCAATTTTTGGTGATTTCATATACGATGAACATGTTTATAGAAATTTTCAAAACTGAATTGAGTTTTTTGAGTTTAAACTATCATACAAATAGTACGAAGTAACTTAGTGGCACCTATTAGTACAATTAAAGAATTATTTGGCGATGTACAAATCAAATCGCTCACTTTCGTGCTAACAATAACTTGTTCCATAATATCGTCGACACGTTTCTTCATTTATTCAGGAACCGACTAGAATATTTTTTTGGAAATTACCCTGAACTCTAACTATGATTAACATTGCACTTTACATGTCATGTATCGTGTCGTATCCATCGAATACTTATTAATTTCTTCGCTTTGGAAAGCAACAAAAATAAATATATTCTGGTTATAAAAACAGCTCAACTAAGAGACCGTGACCCTAAGGTCACAGTTGGCTTATTTCATCATAGGCCTGTTCATGTCTGGTCGGTTGAGGTTGAGGTTGGTTGAGGTTTAGTTTGATTAGCCAGATCCGCTTGCATTTGCCGACCTTTAGCCCAATACTTTTTTAGAGTTTTTAGGGCGAATTTTTTTCACCAATAGGACTGTTATTTTGCATATGATCAAAATTTACAACCGACCGGACATGAACAGACCTCATGTGTATGAAAAAAGTTTACCCATATACTGTACAACAGTACCATACTAAGGGAATACTCAATTTGTCTTACATTGGAAGATTTCTATTCGTAAATAACGTTCCACTGGGGCACAGAATATATGCTCGTCACATGTAATGAGGTAATTGTTAACTACCCCAACGGCACCCAGAAAATTCTTCGAACTCGGCCGGCGTTATGCACTGACACGTGATCGAAGAATTTTTCTGGGTGCTGTTGGGTTATATGTAATTGTTCATTACCACTATACAAATAAGTTTTATGTTTTCGTAGTTAAAACTCCAAGTCGTTTGTTGCAAAGACGCCCAAAAACGAAAAATAAATACCTTTTATATTTCTCATCGCTTAACGGCAGTGTAAACTATAATTTCAACCTCAGATTTCAAATAAACAGCGTTAACAAATATTTTTTCTGCTAATGCAAAGGACCGTTTATCCTTAATTATTCCTTTATTCTCTCTTCTTTTAAAATAAACTCCCAAAAAAACTTGGAACCAGAACAACAATTTACTAGACTTACTGCGCCACAAAGAAAACAGGCCGAAATTTATATCAAAATGGTTTTTTAACGCTACACGGCAGACTAACTCCTCCGTCTTTTTCCCTATCCTAAACGCCATTTTGCAAACACAAACGGATTAACGGAAATTCATAATAGTCGTATCCGGAAGATCATTGCGCCAAAGAACTTAATAGATTATTAAGAGCTATTATTCTCATGATCTTATCCATTCCAAAGATATTATCTCTGGAGGATTCTCATCAATTTATGTCGCAAAATGGAGGAATATGCCAACAATATATGCAATTAAGGAATTTGTCGACAATAAAGAAATGTGCTACAGATAATATTTTTTTTTTATATTACGTAACTATAGTCATATCCTAGGGCCGGTGGCCGGCCCTTACTAAGAGTATGATACTGTATATACATAAATTTTGACACTTATTTGCAGAAACAAAAGTAGGTAAGATATAATTTAATTTTCATTTGAAATAAATAAATAATTTTATTTTATTTCTTTTCATCTAAAATAATTTAATTTATTTTTTTTTTCGTTTTTGATTTAATAATCTTGTAATTGATCTTAAAAGAAGACTTTTTTTTAAAATTTATAAAGAACAAACATTAACAAAAAATTTTTCGTTTCTAACTAAAATAAAATTATTTATTTCACATGATTAAATACTTATTAATATTTTATTTTTTAATAAATCAATTCGTGTAATATATATAATTTTAATAAGTAAATTCAATATATTATAAAAATGCTCCCCATACTTAGTAATCTCCTTCCTTTCCGGGATAGTCAATTAGCATAACAACCAATCACAAGAAAATCACTATTAAAATGAAGATCACCTGATATCGTTAAATATATAGTGCGATTTGTATATAGTGTCAAAAATTATTTATTAACAAGTTAACATTAAACATGGCAGGGAGCTATAGTCATAGTATAATTAGAACTGTAATAATTCTGACTTTTTTTTAATTAAGTTGGTTTATACTACCATACAGTATCATAATTATGATAAATAGTTTTTAAGATTTAAAGAGAATTTCTAAATTTTAACTGGTGGAAAAATTACTGGTAGATCATGTGATTGTGTATTAAATATTCATGTGATTTATTATGATGATGCAATTTCATTTGGCTCGCTTCGCTCGCCGGGCTTTTCTAGCCAAACTATAACTTTCACTTTATTTGCAAAATTTTTGATTATATTTAACATATCTATAAAAAAAAATGAGAAATTACTCTTAACTAGCTATTAACATAATTTTTTTCTCATTTGGTAAAGGATGATCATTTTCGGTTTATTTTGCTTGTTAATCATTTTTGGCTTAGTTATTTCACTTGTTAATCATTTTAAGGTTAATTATCTTGATTGTTGTTTATTTTTTGGTTTAAAAATAAAAAAATATATATATC